ACATTGGCACACATACGGGGGTGCCAGGGGGTGCTTAGCACCCCCAAATTATTTTGAATTAAAAATTTTGTTTTAAGTGTAATTTTTCATTTCGAATGAATTATTTCCAGTTTATATTGGTAATGCAATAATTTTTACTAAAAATGTTGTTTTCGGTATACTGCAATGTCTATCGGAATGATGATTTATTGATATGAAAATAATGATATAAACTAAAATTATTTAGTTTGATAGTATAGAAATGTTCAGCCATCTTAGTTCAGCATTCTTAGTTAGTAGTTTTTTAATATGATGTTTTTGATTCAGTGACAACTTCACTGATATTAAATTATTTTATTTTATTATTATTTACATTTTTCTGCATAAATACCAACAATTAATTAATTCAATGTCAAATAATAAATGTAATATTTTATATTATTCACATTATATTACTTGTTTCAATATTTCCAGTACATTTAAATTGGGTAAAATAAAAAAAAAAATGATGAAATTAGTGAAAATGTAGACAACCCTAATTTCAACACTTGTTCATTTAATAATATTATAATAGTCGTTATAATAATCGGTTATAGGATATATTGAAAATCAGATTCATTAATTTGAGAATTTTAATGAAGTAATGTAGTAACTTTTTGAAATAGTAAGTGTAACCGTACAGGTGGTTTGTGGAGAGCAAAGTTTCCCACTAGTCACTTTGAGGTAAAAGATTTTAGCACTCCCAAGTTTAAGACTGAATGTGCGCCTATGACCCTACACTGTATAGTTGTAGTCGTGGACACACTRCAGTATATTATATACATGGTATAATATTATTGTTGTGTTGTTCAGCGAATGGTCGCAGGAGTCAAACAACTACAATTGGAAAAAATATCAAAGTAGCTGGAAGCCGGACACCGGATATRKAAGCGACGCGCTTATAGGTCATTTACCACTGAGGACGTTTGGCGACGGTGATTATCACAGCGCTACAATGAAGTTGGAACTGCACTCTGAGGACATGAACAAAGAATGTGCACACGGGTTGGATGTGTTCTACGTAATACGATAAAATGACAAACATCTTACAATATATTAATTGGTTTTGTTGTATAANTTTTATTTTCTCGGTTGGTTTACAATAATTACATTGGTCTTATATTGTTCTAATAATTGTATAGTTGTTTAATATCAATTAATATAAGTTATTGAACATCACACTTATCCGGGTGGTAACACTTTATAGGTTATAGGTTAGGTATATGCATCATTACTTTACAATTACTACATTTATATTGACTTTCACATTTGACTTTAATGAACAAAAAAAAAAACAATGACAAACCCAACGAAAATCAGCAATAATATTATGATGTGCGTATTGACAACTATAAATTTTAATTTRATTTTTGCATTGGTCGTGTTAGCAGAATCTGTCTTTTCCATGTGAAGAAGTAGTCAAGTCATTTTTTTGGTTACGGTCAATAGAAAACGATCCCTGCAACGTTCTGTTTCAAGAAACGTTCACGTCGTATGGCTTGTGTTACTCATTCAATATGATGCCGATGAAGGATTTATTGAACGGCGTGGAGTAATATAATATGAAAATAATATACACTAAGCATAAGAAAATTTGACCAGCTCTCCCAAACTAAAAATTTAATACGAGATTTCTCATAAGTTTGTGTCTACGTTTATCAAAAAAAAAATATGTCTATATCCGAAAAGTTGAATTAAACTTTTATGAGMATTTGAAGTCAAATTGTTACAACATAATTGGATGTTCACTCGATTCTCGATTGTTCTTATGGAACTATTTTCTTATTATGTTGTTATTAAAAAATGAATAACTACAGATACTTGTAATCAGTGGCGSCTTGAACTTTTTTCCCTCGAATCGCGTTTAATATTTTTACGCCACCAACCCTAAAATTAGGGCTCAATAGTGTATTCATAAGTAAGTAACCTTCATAAATTATTACTTATTATACTGTGCACTATCTGCTGAGTACATATATACGACTATATATTATATTTATTTTTTATAATTTAATATTTAAATTATCAGCCTGAAAAAATAGTGCAGTCTACCTTTTCCAACCATAAGACCCAACCACCCATTAATATTTTTGTGAATCACATGACTCAAATATACCCCCTTTGAGCCGCCACTGCTCAAGGTAGGTTAGGTAATCAACCCAAACTGTTTATTTTATCATTTCCTATATATTTGATGAAAGGTTCAAAATATTTTGACTCGTTTTGAGCTGTTTACTGCAGACGTTTTCAATTTATTTAGTTTTTTTCTCTATAAATGCCAATAAAATTTTGTGAATACTACTACACAACTACACCATGTATCAAAGACGAAAACAGGATACACATATTATTATTCAATTACCCATTATACAGTAGGTACCCAATAGTACTCTATACCTACATATTTTTGAATTCTGTTTGCAATATACATATTATGAAACTATAATGACTATTCCARGATCTTAAATTTCCCGCGGACAGTTCTAAAATATGACGTATACAGGGAATCCTGTAAGGATTTACCCATTGCGATATCTCCCGAAATAATACATAATAATAAAATAAAATAAAACCAGAATTTTGATATCTCCATTATTTCGTGAGATATCGCAATGGGTATAGACCTAACCTAACCTAACCTAACCTCGCGGGACACTCTATATAGACTATAGAGTAGACACTGAGCATTGTATAATGCATATAGGTTACAGAGTTATATATTATATAATATATATAGCGTGTACCCTACACATTGGCACACATACGGGGGTGCCAGGGGGTGCTTAGCACCCCCAAATTATTTTGAATTAAAAATTTTGTTTTAAGTGTAATTTTKCATTTMRAATGWATTATTTCCAGTTTATATTGGTAATGCAATAATTTTTACTAAAAATGTTGTTTTCGGTATACTGCAATGTCTATCGGAATGATGATTTATTGATATGAAAATAATGATATAAACTAAAATTATTTAGTTTGATAGTATAGAAATGTTCAGCCATCT